AAAGTGAGAATCTTCATTACGTAGTACGGAGCTGAAACTTCTAGAACTACTACATCCATCGTCAAGAAGGTACAAGTATTTATACTCAACATTTACTGGCTGGATACTATCAGCAGCACCCTACTGTTGGAGAGGACAAACCAGCTTTCAGCTGAAGAGGAAATTAGAAAAAGACGATGGAAATGGATAAGACATACAATGAGGAAATCATCAATCTGCATCATGACGCAATCCCAAACTTAAAATCCTGAAGGAAATTGAAAAGAGGAAGACCAAATAATCCATTACGCCAGAATATTGAATCAGATATGAAAAGGATGGATGTTAACTGGAAAGAACTGTAAGGAATCGCCTAGGACAGGGTTGGATGAAGGATGCTGATGGGCGGCTTATGCTCCTCCACGATGGGGTAACAGGCGTAAGTAAGTAAGTGAGTTTTTAATAATATAGATGATATTGTAGTGTATGCTACTGATGTCGGCAGATATAAATAGTATTTATCATCAATCAACACTGGAATACATAGATGAATGTAGAAGGTTAAGAAGATCGAGAATGGTTGCTGTGGAAACGAACTAAACATAAAATGTGAGATGATTGATTGATATTTTGCAAAAGGAACTATTTAGTGTATGATTCTTAGATTTTACTAAGAGATTGTGTAATTTTGTATTCAAAGTACATTCGATTATTTCCAACTGTGTTCTTGTTCACTACTATATTCTAATAACTAAGTAACCATTCATAAACAATGTTTGTTTACAATTCAATTGACAATACAATCGAATCATGAAAACTATCTTGAATGGAAAGGGTTCATTAGTTAATTGTTTATTGTTTAATTAACTAATGGTGCACCTTTCCTTTTTTTGCAAATACCTTACCCCCCCCCTCTTTTAAAGGAAACCAATATTAAGATATACATGTTATAAACACGTAGTTTAATCAAACAAAAAAAATATTGATCAATAGTTTCTTTTTCTTTGATTGAGATCATGAATCGATCAATGTTTGATCACCATTGAAACCATGATCTCATAAATGTTTAGATTCATGAGGTAATTCTTGGAGTTTTGGTAAGAAGCCATAACTAGAGAAACTAATTTATGACAGTCGAACAGCTTACAAAGAAGGGAGTAATATTTTTGACAGAACGGTTATCACTTGACTTATTGGGACTTGATTGGATAGAAAGGTTGAAATTATTAAATCGTCCCATAAACTCAATCTGCAACAATGTCAGTATGTTGAAAATTGAGGATCCGACATTGTTTCGTGGGGGAGGACAAAGTCGGCAAATACAGTCTGGATACCAACCCCGAATCTTCAGAAAAAAAGGAAGGTGTTGGGGCCATCCTACAAATTACTTACAATAGACATGACAAGCTCAGGAACCATTAAGGAGCATTTTATCTAATCAGCGTTTGATTAAAAGTTTTGCTAGAAATATTGCGAAAATGTAAGGTCACATGTAGAGGTTTTGAATGGCTGATTACTACACTGCTACTACGTTTAGTAGCATTCCTGAATTTTCAAGAAAACTCAAAGACTTTTAAAATACTATAAAAACCCCATATTTTCTGTACATAAATTAACTTTTAGAGTTAATTGCTTACCGCATATTTTGTGCCTTTTCTCTCATGTTCAAATCACTGTGTAGTTCCAGCTGGGAAGTTACGAGAATAGCTTAGGATCTGAATATAGCGTTCAATCAACAAGACTTATCAGTGACCCGTAAAAACAGGTATCTATCTCAAACAGTAGAAGATGGTCGTGTAATTTTGTTAATTGGTTGAAATTAGACATAAACATCACCAGATACAGACTTAGTAGTCAAGAAGTTAAGAGTTTCTAAGCAAGATTGAAGATCCGTTGTTTGAATCTCTTGTGCTGGATTTTGGGTACGCACTACTGAATAGTCCCATACTAGGACAAAACACTCATCCAATGCTTCTAGGTTTTTAACGGCGGTCTAACATTCATTAATTCATGATTTCAATCAAACAACTTAACAATCTTCACAACCTCACACTGTTAATGACTAAGTGATTATTAAGAAGATTATGAATTAGCAAAGTATAGGATATATATGTGTATGAATGAAATGTGTCATTAAAACTACTTCCTATACCAACTGTTTTTGACAGTTAGATTAAAATGATATGGATAGAATGAAACATCTTCATTATTCTCTGTTTATAAACTAGAATTAAAATCTATTGTGTAAGTAATAAGATTTAAATATTAGGGGTTAATAATGTTTAGTCAACCTCTTCAATGATGACAAAGATCAGTATGGTAATATTTGTGCTCACTAGTGATTAGCTTCAATGTGGATTTTCTGTAGTTCTATAGAGAAGCAATGACAAATGGAGTACAATCCATGTCCGGTGTAAGACAGTTATCTACCTCAGACAATAGATGAAAAGTTATGAAAGATCGTGGATCGATTGAAGTTAGACATTAACATCGTTGGAGTTCACGCGTGAGACCGGACGTCTTTGAATCGAGTCCCGTGTGTGGGATTGTGAATTCGCACCACTAAGCATTCCTGGACTAAGACAAAACGATCGTTCAATGCTTCCAGGTTTCTAATGGTTATCTAGTTTAGCGTAACTCATGAATTCAACTTTTAAGATGACAAAGATGATTGGTACTTTCTTATTTATATCTTTCTTAATGTAAAATTTCGAGTCTACTGGTTAGTTAGGTTTATTGTATAGAGTAGTTTAATGTAATAGGAGGCTTCCATGTGGATTGGTATAGAGTGAATACCTACTGAAAACTTTAGTTAAATGTTCAATCTTCAGTTGTGTGATCTAGAAGCCCAATGATTAAGTTATGAATTACAGGTTTCACGTTGCATGCATCATACCTATTTAGGTGGTATCACTAGGTGGCAAAGTTTCTTTAGATTACACTAACATACTATACAGTAGTAAATCAATATAAATATCCAAATCCTAATAGAAGCTGAACGTAGAAATATCCTAGACTGTTAATCCAGCTGATATGAGTTTTAAACTTATATGAATCATTAGTTTCACTAAGAATGCTAATGCACCTTGCTGATAAGTGGTGACCAACTTTTATTATTATTTATTTAAACACATAAATATTGGTACAAGGAAGCACCAGATAAATATGCGCCTCACAAATCTCATTCGATTTGTGTGAGGGCTGTGATACTGCCCGCGTGCCCAGACTGAAGCAGGTGGTTTTCTTAGGGGGCCACACCCGGGGCCTTTGACCTAAAGGTCTAGTCCACAAGGCAGTGGAGCATCGTAAGGAGATGTAGTCCCATGGTAGCCGTTGACCAACTATTGATTCATACGCCATTCGTTCCCTCAGGATACTGGAGCCCATGTGCACCATTGGTTTGGAATCAGGGTTTTCCAACTCCCCTAGGTGGATCCTCCACATCCACCAACCTGGTCAAAGCGCCGTACATTCGCATTTCGTCCTCTCACTTTTGTGAATAACACCCCGGCCACGAGAAGGCAGTGAGTAGGACTTCCCTGGCAGAGGCAATATATTTGAGTAGCCATAGGAGAGCGTTTCGAGAGGGAGAGCAAACTCTCCCCACTCTCGGTCGTACCAGGTCATTTGGGGGCATGGTGACCAACACAAAACCTATATCTAGGGTTTGCAGCAGTCCACATCTAAACTACTTGCATTGGTACATAATGTATCGTAAACCATATTACTTACACTAGTGGCTGTATTCCATTTTGATAGACAGAGTTCAGTCAGCACTTATGATTAAATAATAAAGACAGTAAGTAAGGAGGAACCAGTCATTTTAAATGGCCTGAACTGTTTATACTTGCTATGGAACCGGAAACTTGGTTTGATCTGTTTTTTATTTTATTTGTTTACTAGCGGAGTTGTTTAGCAAAATAAAAAAAGGTTTCAGACAAAAAATTACCCCTAGAACCCTCCTGCTGAGCTACAATTCTTCATTATCATCTCATAACTTTATTATTCTTAATTCATTTTTGGTAAGACTACTAAATACGTGCCATACCATACATACCACATCCTGATCTCTTGTCAATTCAGCGTGACCGGAATAATCTCAGCTATATATATTTTTTGTTTCACATCGGCATTCTCTATAGGATCATCCAAACCTAATGAAGACGGGACAACCTTCTCCTTTGATACTCATCAGAATCATCACTTAAGACTTTGCCACCGAGTGAACACTGGTATTTTAAGCTACCCAGATTGTATACAGGATTTAAAACCGACTAATTATATATGGTTTTCAGTTGACTCATGATACTTTACAACCATCGTTTCATACCATTTCTTTTCTAACTCGGGAGATGATAGCAATCGATGGTTACAGACCTTGATTGACATAGCTCAAAATCGTTTGCAATGGCGAAGATGCATCCACTCTTTGTGTGCTACCAAATTCTAATCTTCTAAATTCCTCATGTTTCTATCTTTTTTCTCTTTCCAAATTAGATTATACTCCTTCAATAACATCTCAAAACCCTAATCTTTCACATAATACTTAAAATCTTCCTACTTTTACCACTATGGGATTTGAATCGACAACTGCATCTCTGTGCTAATGTGGTATGGCAACTCGAACTGATGTATTTACGTAAGTACGAAGTTCTACGTTGTGACTGACTGACTGACTGAATGTGATTAAACTCCATTTACATACAGATTCTACTTGAAGCTTTGGAAAACTTCCACGCCGTAAAAAAATGTTTCCCATTAGACTGTCTCAAGTATCACATCACTTACTCACTTACGCCTGTTACCCCTCGTGGAGGAGCATATGCCGCCCACCAGTTCTGGTAAGGGATTCTTAAGCGAGTTAGTTTTCTACATGATGGGATCGCTAACCCCATGCACAACCCTCCTCCTTTATCCGGGCTTGGGACCGGCAGTGACTCTATAAGAGTATCATCGACTTCATATGTGAAAAAATAACAATAAATTACTCTTTCAATAAAGATCAAAAAGAATAAACTTACCGTATTCAATTGTCGTTTTGATGTTAAATCTGTAAATGGATTTTCAATCGAAGGATTTGTTTGCCAACTACTTTTTGATTTTAAACTAGATTTATTCCACATAGCATCAAGTAATGGTTCACGCCATCTTGCTTGAAGGAATATATCTGCTTGATAACGTTCATTGACAGTATCTACTTGACCAACTTTAACAAATATTAAAACGAGTTCAACACGAGCCTGAAAAATAATCGAAATAGATGGAATCAACAATTTGATTTATGATAGACGTACAAAGTGTATATCAGCAATGATCACATCAGGGAAATACACTCAAACTAACATATAAGTAGTCACTTTGGATACAACTAAATTATGTTTGAGTTATATGAGTGAGCAAATGGCAAGATTAATTAGACACCTATAGTTATCACTGATTCAGATCTCAATATCATCATACCCGGAATTCTTTTCAATGCTTTATAGTGTAGTATGGTCTACTTATATCTACAAGTAGTATGTAGTGATGATCAGACATAGAATGTATTTTGGCAGAAGATCGATAAGGAACAAAGAGGAATGAAGCGTGATCGTTACGAAAATGTGTATTGTTCACTTCAATAGAAACAAAACATACTTATAAGCAAAGGTGAATGATGGCTAGCAGTGGAATCCAGGAAGCGCGTATCATCTTATCCATTTTTGCTTATGATGATTGTGACTTATTGCTATATTGAGGCAGTCCGCATAAGATGCACGTATGCCAACAAGAGGATGATGATCAGTACACTGCTGATGATGTCGTTTAGAAGGACGATGATAGCTCCACGATGAAACTATCCAGCTCAGAGATCAAAACTCTATCAAAATCTTCCACCTGTGCTACAAATCTTCTCCATCATGTCAACTGCAGTCCTAAACAGTAATCGGGAGATACAAGCAAACAATACCAAGTTAAAACACACCTATGTTGCTTTGTTATTCATGAATTATAAGGTTTGAATTTGATCGAGGAATGATTTCAACTACATATTGGAAATAAAATTTGTCAAATAGAATTACTGATGAAATTCATGATAAGTAGTATATTTCTTAGGAACAATGAGAGTCTACACTTCAGCTCTGCACTCATCTTTGTATACTAGAGGCATACGATTCAGAGGTGCAGAAGACTGTGAACGATACCACTCTGAAATGTGTAATAGATGTAGCACATAATCTCTTCATACAATTAGATCATAGATTTAACTGTCAAGATTGTATAACATGAAAAACTAAGTTAAATTACGTAACCAAAGATACCGTGAAATATATTAGGGAGAGAGAGATGATCTATTACATTCACCATTCACAAATGGTGTAAGTTAAACAATTATTGTTAAGCTAAATGCATTGGACTGCCATATTGCACTAGTACGGAATTTCCCAGAAGTGTGGTCCCACTACCTCATACAGGAGAATCAGATCCAGGATCCAAGGTTTCGCGCGCGAGCACTTAGCCTCTCCAACCAATGAGTTGAAATACAACAGTCTTAATGTTCAACTTCAAACAATCCATAATAAGATCGTGGTGTCAACTGTGAAAATACTACAATTTCCACAAATATCCCATACTAAAAACTCTTTAATTAATTTACTTAATTCACATTATAATCCACTGCTAACTTATTAATTATCATGAGTCATTTGAAGCTAGACGACCATGGAAAACCTGGAAACACTGAACAGCCGTTTTGTCCCATTGTGAAACTCCTCATGATCTCAGCTATTAAAATTACTATAATATCCACAAAACTCATTCTGATAATAATCAACATATGCTCACTAGTGACTAGCTTCAAGAAGAATTTCCTGAAGTTCTAGTAAGGAGTGACCAGTGGAGTTTAACCGGGTATGTTGTGAGATATCAGCTCACCGAAGACAATCGTGGACTGTTGGTCAATTTCGTGAATCGTCTGAATTTAGACAATAAACCGTTGAATACCTGCTCAATAGTCTTGAGATTAGGCATTCGCACGCGAGATTGATAGGTCCTGGATTCGAATCTTGCTAGACATTATCATGGATGAGCATTGCTGAAGAGTCCCACAGCACGATTAAACGACTATTCAGTGCTTCTAGGTTTCCCATGGTGGTCTACCTTCAATCGACTGATGATCTTAACTATTAAAATTACTAAAATCTCTATATAAACCCCTCTGTTATTAATTTTATATGACGTTATATTCACATATACACATTCTTTCTTGATATTATTTACATTACATAATCTGATATTATAATCTCCTAATTGCGTCATCAATTCTTTGTTCATTTGATCTTATTTAGAATTTCATAAATAAATAAATATGTATATTTGGTTAAGATCATGAGTCGATTGAAGTTAGACCACCATGGAAAACCCTAGAAGCACTGAACGAACGTTTCGTCCTAATGTGGGACTAAAATCTCCTCAAAACCCCCTCTCTAACAAATATGTATATGATGATTATACACTATCCATCATTACTCATAAAGTTTGTGACTTCAGGCAATAGTGAAGAATTCCGCCTAGGATGCACATATGTCAAGAAGAGACTGATCAATTGTAGTTCTAAATAATAATGAGAAGATACAAGTGAATGATGATTATGCAGTTTGAAAAATCCCCATATTGTGATTTAGAACAACATATATAAGGGAAAAATATTGTTTTCGATTAGATCCTCATCAAGCTTTACTCTAATATTTTTATAATTAAAATCATGAATTAATTGGAGCTAGACCATCATGGAAATCCTAGAAGCACTGACCGGCCGTTTCGTCCTATTTTGGGACTCCTCAATAATGCTCATCCATGATCAAAACCCGCAAGATTCGAACCCAGGACCTATCAATCTCGCGCGCGAGTGCTTAACCTCTAGACCACTGAGCCGGCATCCTGGGTTCGAATCTCGTGAATGCGGGATCGTGGAGGAGTCTTGTAATAGGACTATAAGAGAAACTTTGTCAAATGTCTGGCATATAGAGCTAGGAAGATATGCTCGGTCGATTTAATTAACAAGGAGTTAGAGCTCATATATAATATGTTGATTGGAATGGGTTATTCACAAGTTTTTTGAAGAAACACTTGTGTGTGATAAACAAGAAAATAGCGATATCAGCAGCTAGTAAGAAACCTCTCTTCCTGAAGCTGTATTTCAACGAATATGTAGCTGGTGATGTGCTGCGTGATAGACTGACTGGAACAGTAAAAAGAACTTTTAATGCAGCCGACCTCTGTCTATCTTACTCGACCCAATCTATGGTGATTCCTCAACTAAAGGATAAGCTACATTAATCTCTTATCAAAATCAAACAATTTCTTTTCAACTTTCTTCTGACCTTAAATCTATTTAAAACTCCTCCTGTAGCTCTTCCAGGGTTAATGTAGATCACAAACACAGGTAAAAGAGTAGAGTAACGCGTGGAGTCAGCGACGGATACTAAAGAAACAATGAACAACTAAGAAAACAGAGTTACAAAGTAACCTTTCAATACAGCCTTCTTTTAAGATAATGACAAAATGTGTGAATTCTAGATAATTCTCAACAAAAGGTCTCATACTTTACAAGATCTACTCAAAGAAGAAGAAATTACTGTTGAGGACAAATGGAAATGGATCAAGGAAGCAATAACTTCAACGTGTCAGGAAGCTCTGGGTCACAAGTAAAATCATCATGAGGACTGAATCTCTATCGAAACCCAGAATAATATTCAAGTAGAGCAGTCAGTAACAGCCTGACAAGAGCAGAGATATGCAAGGTACAGACCGGATACACTGAAATAAACAAGCAAGTGAAGAAGAGAATTCGAGCTGACGAAAAAAAGTACATGGAAGATCTAGCAACGACAGGAGAAAAAGTAACAGGAAAAAAATGGAACGAATGCACTGGAGTCAGACAACAGTAACTGCAAATATCGTAGACTTTCTGTTGAGAATGATTTTGGAGGAAGAAGAAGTAGTGAATAGATTGCAAAGAAGGATACCTGATAAAAATGCCAAGGAGATAAGATGTGAGGAAGTAATCTAGTAAGTCCAGGGGTCTGTAGTGCAATGGATAACGCACCTGACAACGGATTATGAGATCCCGGGTTCGAATACTGGCAGGCTCGATTACACTTTTCAGTTAGTCGTGTCACCGCAACTACACTCTCATCACACAACCATCTCCCACATTCTCTGCTCTACCTCACCTCTACATCACCGACGACATAGGGAATTGACGCGACCGACCACACTGATGCAAACTGGTAGTGCATCGAGGATAGCTGACCACAGAAGCATTCAAAGTGAACATCGTCGTCAGAGAGGTCTGCTTATGGTGGTCGATTGCATTATGAATACCTCCACATCTGACGGGAATTGTTATGTAGTAGCGAAGACATAAGTACGGGTAACTAGATTATCTATATCTATATTTATCTTATTGTAAGCTTCATTTTGACATATTGATTATTATTGTATGATTTACTGTTCCTAAGTTATGCTCAGTTTTATTGATTATTGTCTCCCACGCTTACAGCCTCATTTGGCCTGGTTTTGTACAAATATAATTTTCTATTTTATGGTATGGTGTGGTCTGCCTGTCTGGTATATAGATAAAGTATGTTTGAAATAAACGATTCGCATTACAGCAGCTGCTATTGGTGTTTTTGGACTCAAGTGGACGGGTTAGGCGGATAAGGGCCAATAAGGACGCTAGATTACTCATACTAATCGGACGTCATTGTCACAGTGTGAAGGTCGTAGAAGTCGTATTCTATTGGTGGACAATTTACGCGAATTACGTCCTTGTTAAATTCGTAAGGTCATAACGAATCAGCGACGACCTTGATCAAGTCATAACAATTGGCTACCGCCTAGGCCAAAAACATGACAAATTGGTGACGGCTAGGTCAAGTCATAACAGGAAGCATGTAATTAATGGACAACTTGCACACAATCACACGATTTGAACTTCACAGATGACTCAGCTCTTCTATCCTACACACACAGACTAATGCACGTGAAAACAGCCAGTTTAACATCAGCCCTCAAAGCAGTAGAGTTCAACATACAGAAAGCAAAAATCAAGATCCTGAATTCCAACACGGAGAACACAAACAAAATGACACCTGATAGAGAAACTCTGGAAGAGGTGAAATCTTTTATGTTACTGGACAACATCATCGATGAGGAAAGAGGATCTTATGCAGATAAAAATGTAAGCATTGGCAAA